TGCTGGATCACATCTTTGACTACTTCAAATCGATCCTGATAAGTTTGGAAGTCTTTCAGAAGATCTGTAGTTTCATTTCTCCAAAGACTGTTAAGCATAATTTGTTCTCTCAGGATCTTTGTTTTTATTGAATCTGAGTGTATTAGGGATGGACCATTATTTTTTTGGAGGGGGGATGGAAAATTCTTAAATTAAAAAATTGTTTGCACAGACAACAAAAGTGCAAATAAATTGTTTGCACACATAGAGAAGAGGAAAAAAATAGTTTGCAAGCTATTAAATGAGATCATGCAACATCGACCAAGGTTTAATAACATTGAAGTGCTCACCAACATACCCAGGGTCTTCACCCCAAAAGCCCTTGGATGGGAGATGCTGGTGAGAGAGATGATCATCTACATTATCATTCAATTCATTCGGAATCTTTCTTTCACTCTTTCAGCTGGTTGAAAGAAAGTTTTACTTACACTGTGTTATTCCTACAACCTCGATCTACACCCCCACCTTGTTCAAGTTATTACAACAGGTGATTACCTGATCTTATCAAACCATCACTGCTCTTCGAAAATTTTAGCAGCAATATGTCATATAAAACTTCTCTGAGTTGTTATTTAGAGAAATCTTTTTACCCACATCGTGTTAATCATCTGTTAGCCTTTGTTGCGATTTGCGACTATATGTTGTTAGATTACATATTTACCCTGACTGTTTGAAGATCAATGGCAATGGAAAACAGATGATGATGGACAACTTTTGGAGTCAGAGCGGATGACGGCACAATGACAGTTTCACTGAAAACATTTTTACAAGCGTAGCCAGGTTGTGGGTCAGGGGGGGGGGCCGCCTCCCTGGTAAAATTTTGGTGCTACCTGAGAAAATTTATTCTATAAAAAGAAGTGAAACATGGCCCCATCTAGGTTTTTGCTGCCCCCCTCACCAAAAATCCTGACTACGCTTCTGGACATTTTGTATACAATTCCTAAAATAGGACAAAGGTTGAAAAAAAATTATTTTGGTACGCGTACCGTCGTACCTTGTCCATTATCACACTTTTATTATTTGCAGTTTGCACTAACTACCAGTAAGATTTTAAACCATGAGAATAAATGAGAATAAATGCAATATACACATGAAACTATAGTGCCGTATTATCGTACCTTCGTACCACAAGAATAAAGGCAATATACATATGAAACTATAGTGCCGTATTATCGTACCTTCGTACCATGAAAATAAATGCAATATACACATGAAACTATAGTGCCGTATTATCGTACCTTCGTACCATGAAAATAAATGCAATATACATATGAAACTATAGTGCCGTATTATCGTACCTTCGTACCATGAAAATAAATGCAATATACATATGAAACTATAGTGCCGTATTATCGTACCTTCGTACCACGAGAATAAAGGCAATATACATATGAAACTATAGTGCCGTATTATCGTACCTTCGTACCATGAAAATAAATGCAATATACATATGAAACTATAGTGCCGTATTATCGTACCTTCGTACCATGAAAATAAAGGCAATATACATATGAAACTATAGTGCCGTATTATCGTACCTTCGTACCATGAAAATAAATGCAATATACATATGAAACTATAGTGCCGTATTATCGTACCTTCGTACCACGAGAATAAAGGCAATATACACATATGAAACTATAGTGCCGTATTATCGTACCTTCGTACCATGAAAATAAATGCAATATACATATGAAACTATAGTGCCGTATTATCGTACCTTCGTACCACGAGAATAAAGGCAATATACACATATGAAACTATACTATAATGAGTAAATGCAGCGCTGTACTATCGTATACCTTCGTATCATGAAAAAATTATCAAATCATAGCTATAGTTTTTCTGTTTCATCGTTTCACGACAATCGTTAGACGATTTACTCTTGCCATTCATGCAGCAGGCAAAAGGCCATGGGACAAGTTTTATTTTTAAACTGTAAATAACAAATGCCGATATTTGAAACAATTATGGTGTTTTTATGCACACGTTTTTTCGTTAATTCGTTGGCCACATAATTTATACATTGAAGCACATGCGTAAAATGGCTTTCTTTACATGCGGATGCAGTGATACACCCACTCCATCTATGAAATAGAGATGGTAGACGCAGGGCAGGCCGGGGTGTACGCCAAAGTGATTTTTTGTATGAGTTTGACTAATTGACATTTGTGTTCCGTTTTGCTCTGGGCGAATGTTAAATATGGCTCACAGAGTTTGGATACTTTGCTTTGCAAGCTTGCCCAATTCAATTCAGAATATGTTTATATTCTTAATTGAATTGTCGACGAATGTCGCGCTAGTTAAGTATAGTCGGCTGCCGCCATAGGCGCAACACCGCTATATCCTTTTTCCTCTCCATTGGTCGACACCTTTACAAGCAATTGAGCTTCTTACACTTCGGTTTATTTTCGTGGTTTACAGGATTGATTATATAATTTTGAAAAATATAAAACAATTGAAATCATATAAAAGTTGTATATTAATTATATTATTGTTTTTGCGACGATCCATACACGTGCGAAGCCCACCTCGTTCAAAACAAAAAACAAACAATGCCTCACTATATGAGAAATATGGTATCATCAGTTCGTTCATCGTTTGGCAACAGGTGCTGCGGACCTGCGGTAGAATAATTTGATGTTATAATCGCATTATTATATTTTCTAATCTGCAATTATAAATTTGTCGCAGTGACAGTGTTGCAGCAAAGAAACCGACACATCACACTGGAGATTGTAAAACTGCCTATGCGCTCCGCCTATATTGGAATTATAATTTGCGCCAAATAAACTTTGCTTCTCCCGCCAAATGAACTTTGCTTTTCATTTCATTTCCATTGCAAGTTGAAACCAAAAGTGAAATTTCGATTTCTTGTTCTGTGTCCGAATAAAATTTCACTAACGATGATTGGCAATTTGAATTATGTCATGAAGTGGACGCTTAACCCCCCTTAGTTGTCTGCCCTCCTAAGGAGTATCGTTGGCTGCCGCCATTTGCGCCACACTATCATTTTAATTTAATTTTGTCGACACCTTTACAAAACAAACATACACTTCGGTATGACTATTTTCGTGGTTTACATATGATTATTACCATTAAATTATCATACATGAAAATTACCACACTATCCTGGCATACCCTTGTATAAAGAGCATAGAAATAATACATACAGAATGCGTACTTCATCACGAACTATGTCTCCGCTCTTTGAAAAAGTTGATTGTATTCATCTGGGGAACAAAGGTTTTGCCTACTGTCTTCTTTATAATTTTTATAGGAATTATAGTAATATGACAAAGCAGGAGCCAAAAAATGCCCTTAGGCTTAGAATTAATTTCAAATCAATTTGAAAGCACTGTATACAGTGTATGAACAAGAATTTACTATTTTCGTGGTTAACATATGATTATATAATTTTGAAAAAAATATGCTACAATTGAAGTCATATATAAAAGTTGTATACATCATTGTCCTTGCGACGACCGATGAGTTATTGCATTTCCTGGCATACTAGTAGCCGGCGCCGGTATGGCGGTATCAAAAGAATACTCGAAATAGAGAGGTGTAAAGTGTCGGAGCTACTTTGAAAATTACTTTAAGTGTTGATGGCACAGTTTAGGTTTAATGTTACAAGGGTATATAACAGTCCGTTGCTCTGCTGATACAGTTCACATGCGTATCCTGGTCACAACCACTTCTACTTCTTGCAGTCTTCAACTGATTCAATTGACATCGTTTTATTAACTGGTAAGTTAATATATTGTTTTACATTTCTACAACATAGTCATAGTGATTTCATTTTAAGAATTTCAAGGTTAAGGAATGATCAGTATAAGGTAAAGAGTGGAAACCTCGATGCGACTATGGCCACTATAGGTGGAATTGTTTCGCAGGCAGAACAATGTTTGTGAGTTTTATAGGGTGTGAACATTTATCAATCTGTGTATTCATATTTACTTATATCTTATTCCAGGAGATGGCACAGCCGCAGGCACCTGCTTCACCAATCAGAGGACTTTCGGTACGTGAAGATGCCAGTGGATGTCCCGCACTGCATCAAAAGGTCGGCAAAAACAAGTACATTTGCTTGGCAAACTTCTTTTTCCGCATCGAAGCCTTTGTAAAATTTCCACTGAAAGTGCATTCAAGATATAACGGTTATATATTGTTCGTGCAACGTGTAGATGGAGTTTCCATGTAAGTACTATATTTTGTATTATATTGTAATGTGTGGCGGGCAGTGCTGCTGGGCATGGCTATGCATAATTGCCCAACGGCACCATGTAATATAAAAAATTAGATCTCATACAGCCAGGCAGGAAAATGCCATATTTTACCTCTATCCAAAATTAGTAATTACAATAGAATAATAATGGTCAAAATAAAATAGATGCATTGAGACCCTCCCAGGGGCCCAGGGCAAATTTTAAATTCAAATTTTAAATTTCCTATTTTATCCAAAAAATGTTTTAGGGTGTGCTTTCAAAATGACAAACAGCAGTTGAATTAAGGTTCAAAATTTTCTTTCGGACAAATATCTGTAAAGACTGTAAATACACAGATAAAACACTTTTTTGGACCAATACCAATAAAATTGAGGTCTACAATTGCCACACTTTGTGTCCTTGTAAAAGGAAAATGTGTCCTTGTAAATTGAAAAGTGTGTACTTGGGACAATGTAGTTTGTATTTAAAATAAAGCCCAGAAAATTCATTCTTAGTCATTTTCCCCATGAGCAATTTTGTTTGAAGTATAATCATGTGTTTATTGCCTGATGATAGCCGGATATATATTGCTGGTTTATATATTCTGGTTTTTCTGTTTATATAACATGTCAAGAAATACCTGTAAAATTACCAACGGCTTCAATTATTGCCCTATAGGCGCGGTTTCTTGATAATGACAATATCCGCAGAATTCGTGCTACAAAAATCAGGACTCAGAAAAAATCAGGACAAGAAAACAAAAATCAGGACAAGAATTGAGTTGATCGACCTGACCCAAGGCCGGCGAGAGCCAACTAGGGGACAAAATTACGATTTGTGAACATGGGCCCCTGTCCCTCTGAAAATTGCTGATGATAACAATTATATACGAACATTTTATCGAGATTTCCGGGCCCCTCTGAGCACTCCGGGCCCCTCTGAGCACTCCGGGCCCCAGGTGTTTTGCCCCCCCCCCCCTCGCCAGCCTTGACCTGACCTTATTTTAATGACTGGACATTCAATTGCGCAGCCAAAAGCCTGTAGCTAAGTTTAAACGAATGTTACATGCGGAATTGTTGCATGGACAAAAGACCACTATGACAATTATAATCTTAAATCTTATATGATATTTTATTTATTACATTAATTATAAGTGTTTATAGTTGTAATATAGTTTATGAGGGCTACTAATTTATCACTAGCTCACGCTTACTGTCATATGTTAATATGTTATTCTGCCACCCCACCCCCCCCTCCTCAGAGGCCATGGATGCAGTATGTCAGTTCTTACAATGCCAACAAATGGCTACAATAATCACTCGATTTAAAAGCAATGGTTGATAGCAATTGTGGGCATTGTGCAGCCAACAATATTTAATATTGAGTCACACTTTAATAAATGTTTTCCATTAATCAATATAAATAAGCATATACAGCAACTATTGATGTCAATTTATTGCTTTTCAAAATTTCACTCTACAAAAATATATCATCAATAACAACGCCAAGAAATATAGTGTCTTTAACTTGCTTAATTATTTGTTCATTTATAGAAATAGTTACATTATGTTTTTGTTTTTTCTTCGATGATCTAGCTAAATAACATAAATTCAGTTTTCGCCGTGTTTATAGATAATTTATTTATATTCAGCCAATCCGATATTTTATTGATTTCTATTTGCATTACTTCATTAAGTGTTTTTAGACAGGTATGACTATAAAATACATTAGTATCAATAATTGATAAAATAATTGATCAATAGTTTGTCATCATCACTAAAACTAATTGGTCTGATACTTCCACTTTCATGCCCTTACTAACTTGCATATAATTCTGATCTTTCTATATTATCTAATATTGTTCGTACTGTAAATGTCATGCATCACCACTATTTTGAATTGTGCTTTTATCGACAAATTGTTTAAGTTAACAAAATATTTGAGGAAGCTATCAAGAGCATAAGACTAAAATTTTGTAAATCATGATGCACACTTAAAATTACACCACTTTTTTAGTATTCTAGTGCATTCATTGCAGTCTGACTCCTTGTCGGCGCCTCTGCTCTAATTAGGCACTATAGTGGCCATCACCCCTGTGAAAACATTCAAAATGACCAGATTGGCTTGGACCTACAGGGAGACAAATGTTTTGATTGTTGCGAGGTGCCTACATGATATGGTGGCGTTTATACTAGAATGCTGTTAAAAGTTAACTAACTCTCGAGTAATGATACGGTAATTTTTTTTATGAAGCTCATCGAGGGGTTTACGGTAATACGGGCTTGAGTGGACCTCTCATAAGTGGGTGCAGAGGAGAGACACCTCATTCAGGCATTTTCTGAACTGCCACCACGTCATGTAGGCTCCTCACAGCAATCGAAACATTCGTCCCCCTGAAGGTCCAAGCCAATCTGGTCATTTTGAATGCCTTTCACAAGGGTAATGGCCACTCCTTAGAGCAGAGATATCTTTTGATATCAAAAGCGCCGACAAGGAGTCAGACTGCAATAAGTACACAATTAAATTATACTAGAATACTTTATAGTTGTGTAATTTTTAACATTGAAATTCAACTTTCAGGTAAAATCCTCCGACACCCCCCACTCCCCAACTTCAGATTGCAACTACACACAACTACGTCCCTGTACAAATAATAATTTTGTTTGTTTTGCATAGGGAATGCTACGTAACTATTGATGAAATTGAAACAGTGAAGAAATTTAAAGCCGCGATTAATCGCACTTTTGCGGAAAGAGGTGGTGTTATTTGGCAAGGCATCACCGACCGTCAGCTATCCATCTACATAATGGATAAGCTGAAAGAATTTGTTGGGTCCGCCGAAAGCAAGAAATATCATGGATCGCTTATAATTGGGAGACAGCCGAACTACCGTAAGGTGGATGCAAATGGGGAATTTGTCGACGATCCAGAAAATAATCCAGGCATTTCCATGGAGGACAATAAAATTAAGCCAAATGATTTCGACACGGCTGTATATATTTTCAACGATCGAGTGCAGGTATATGTTTAGATATTTTATAAAATTATATTTTTATTTCACATACAATATAGTCATGCAAGTATATTTCACTCGCATTGCCAAGCTTAGGACTCAAGCTGGACCCAATAATTTTAGTCCCATCTCGAGTTATTGGCTAATTTAGCATCTCTCATCGCCGCCATTTTTGGGTGGCTTTTCAGCCGAAGACTGCAAAATAATAGGTCACACCTGATGAGTGTGGCAAGCATTGCTTGTCATACAAAACAATTTTGTAGTGAATAAACCAGGTTTATTTTATCTTTATTAGCTCTATACTTCGGTCTATCTATATCTATATATATATATATATATATATATCTATATTGGAGATTGTAAATTTACAAATGCATGTTTTATATTTCGAATTTTAGATGGATCATACTGGTCTAATAGAAGAACCTAAACACAAATATATGGTGCCACTTTTAAAATCAATGCCAGCAGCGATGAGTGATAAATTTATCAATAATTATTTGGCAGAGAATCCGGTCCAGATTGAAGTTCCTTTGTTACCGTTCAATTGGAAAATGATCATTGGTCAGGCAAAGTCCTTTTTCTCTGTCAATTTCCTACCCTTTCTGATGTTCACTTGTGGAGGAATAGCTGCTTTCCACTTTGCACAGATTGTAAACAGAATTGGTAAGAATAAGCAACAATGTCACTTAGCGCTTGGCCATTTATGTTCACGAATTTTAAAAATACAAAAATTATGTACAAAATTGAAATACAAAGTATTTCCGAAATTGCTCCATTAATATTTTATAAGAAAGGTATACTAGTCTAATATGATTAAATTAGTTACTGTATAATTATGTAGATTAATATAGAAATAAAGAAAAAAGTTAACATTTTAGAAACGATCTAGAAATTAATGGTAGTGGCATAATTATTTAATTTTCTACTTTTTATTTAGGTTGCTGTCCTGTAGCAACTGCTATAGGAGAAATATCCAGTGGCAAGTCTACGGCGCTAGACGTTATTAGCAAGATGTTAGGCTTACATGTTGTGTCGCAATCGTCTGGAGAATATGTCTGCTCGTCTCTAACTAAGAGTACAGTACCACTGAGCTGGGACGACCCGTCACATGCAAGCCTCGTGAACAAGCCTTTGATGTCAGTATTCAACGGCCATGGCCAACAAACCATGGGGCGAGGAAATGAGAAACCAGTCACTTCTTTCCTCCTTACAATCAATTTTAAGATGGACGACGACATGAGGTGAAATTACAGGGTTTTATCGATTTTGGCAGCAATATTTAGCAATATTTTTTCCCTAGTTTATTTATAAGTAGAGTTACTAATTCAATTAACTAAATAAGGTTATAAGGTATAATACTTATATAGGCACAGTTAAGCATTTTAGGAAAATTGATATATATATATATATATATATATATATATATCCCGTTTTAATAAGATAGACGACGATATCTATATCCCTTTCTAATATCTAATAGATCATTTGAAAGGACAACCCCTATATGGTTTGCAAAATTAGTAAATGGTGAGAATGATGGAAAAGAGAAGTTTTTAAAAGCTCGAAAAGTTATTCTGGAAATGGCCTCGACTAATTGCATCCTGGACATAATCAACCTTGGAAGAAGAATCACTACCACAAATCTGGCGGAGCATCAAAGCTTCTTCCAAGACAAGCTCGCAGGCCTTTCCCCACGTCTTCCACAGATCTATTCTGTTTACAGGCTAATCGCATTTGAGGTACGTACTTTTTTTGTAATTTTTCCTTGTGATAGTTATTTAATGGTAAGGAACTTGTGACCTAGTACGCGAATTTTTTGTTTTAATAATAAGGTTATCCTATCGGCAATTTATGATTCCCCTTACTGCATTTTCGTAGCGCTTTGAATTGTGCTTATAGTGGTATCACTGATATTCAATATGGCTTATTTTTTGTCCTGACCCGTGCAAGAACTTTTAAAAATAGCTAAGGTAAAGTTAGCCTTTACAAAGTCCGCGGTTCGTGGTTCCTGGAAGCGACGGACTTTTGTCACCCGCAAGCGCGCCAAATTCACCGGTGCATTTTTGCTCCGGTGACGTCAGTGAATGCTCATTATTATTCTTAATATTCTGTACTAACGACACCATTTTGTGAATTTAAGATCTTAAAGGTTTTTAAACCTTGAATGATAGAAGATAAATTTTTTTAAGTGGTTTTATAAACGCTTCGTCATGACAATAATAATTAACTAGTGAAATCGGCATGGTGAACGCCAACTATGTCATTTTCGCGCCAAATTTTTCAGTAAGATTCAAAATCAGGCAAGTGACACAAGTCGCTCGCTTCCGTCTTTCTCAAGCGCTCCCTTCTTGCTACGTGCGTCCCTAGCGAGCGACTTGGACAAGTCTAAGGTAAGGTGCATGATAGCCAACAACAAAATATTCGTGAAAACATTCAATATTTTTATTCGAGGCCGCTATTTTTATTAGTGATACCACTATAACCACAATAACGTATGATTTATGTATTAAGCGCAATGACAGGGCTATACGATTCCATATAGCAATACATAAATCATCAGTTTTTCAATACTCTACACATCATGTACTTATCGTGAAAACTATCTTGTTTACAGATTGCAAAACTGGTGGACGATGACACCATTTTATCAACGACAAATGTCGACACCTACTTGGAAGCGATTTTTTTACCGTTCGTTATGTCGATGTACACTGGGTCAACAAAGGCTCATACATCTTTCAACGATTTTGTCAAATTGCTTGTTCAAGCCATTGCCAAGTTAGGATTAAAAAAGGACAAGGTGCGCCAGTTTATTGGGTATATTTAATAAATTGTAACATAGTTTGAGGGAACACATCAAGTTAAATTTATGTAACTCGTCTAGCGCAACGAAATGCAAACCGTTAGAGACGACAAAGAACTCTTCTGGAAGCGATAATTGCATCGTGGAGTAGGTGGCACTAACTTTTTTAAAACATTATACCGCTTTAGCTAACAGGATGGTTTAAGCCACTGTTGAAGGGAAAGAAAGAGAGAATCGATTACTTGGCGTTCGTTCTACCAACAGCGATCGACGTCATAAAACGAGCTGGTTTCGACAAGCCTGGTTGGAAAAACATTCGAGAACTGGCACGAAGTATGGAACATGCGGATGTCAACCACAAATGTCGTTTTGGTGGAATGGCAAAGACGGGAAAGGAATCATGCTTAAAGATCCCCAGAAGAGTTCTTCCTAAAGAATGCATTGATGAAATTGACAAAGGTACAAATTGCATAATTTTAAGGTGGTTTTCGTCGAGTGACTATAGTCATGGGTGATGGTGGGTGGCGGGGGGAGGGGGGGGGTTGAAAGGCCATTATTAAATACGCCCTTTTGATAAATTACTTACAAACACTTTTTTGGCATTGAAACTTCAATGGCGTAAAGCAATTGTCTCACGAATCTCGAGAGCAAGGTTTCTCATATTATCACCAGGAATTAAAGACCTATAGGTAAAATGAAGTCACTCCTGCATGTGGAAACACGCACAAGAGGATGTACAATATTTCGATCGAACTATAAGTGGCAAGTGTGACTGTCAAGTGGCATTGCGACTGTCTTTAACTCCTGGTAATAATGTAATGGTTCGCTTGCTACTCTGGTTTAAACAAATGATTACAAAGCCCATTACTCTCTCGATTCGTGGGTCAATTGCTTTACGTCATTGAAGCTTCAATGCCAAAAAAGTGTTGTTAAGTAATTTATCGAAAGGGCGTATTTAATAATGGCCTTTCACATCCCCATGACTAGTCAATCGACGAAAACCTCCTTCTTAAAATTATGACCAGCTCTCCATCCCCAGATTGCCATACGAGGTTGCCTCTTTTCGTGATATGATATGTCTGTATTAAACATTATTGTACATCTATTAAAAAAATTAATGCTTGCTTATATGTGGTATTTGAATTGAGAAACAACGACGACGGAGAAACTGATGACGACCTGGTTGAAGGGAGTTTGGAGGATGGTAAATCTGACAGCTGCAACAATTGTGGCCGTTATTTAGACAACATGACCGAGATGGAAGAACGATTTGACGCCAGGACACACAAGCTTGAGGAAACGCATTACCAAGAACTTCAAGAGTTAAGGAAGAGCCACAACGAGGAAGTCGCTGCGCTGAGAAATGATAATGCGGGATTAAAGAAAAAAATCGTGGAACAAGAGAACAGTGAGAAGGAAATGAAACGCCAAATAGAATTTCTATCGGGTATGCTGCGTCAAGCAGAAGCCAGAAGAGAAGAAGACGCGAGGGCATCACAAAGGATGTCAGATGAGCATCATGGAAGCTCAGTAACAATGTCTGTAGCTAAGATTGTCGGTAAGAATCCATTTCTATTTTCCAGTCCGACGTAACAAATGCTTCTCTGGTATCTGTTTCTGGTCTCTTCATATTATATGTAGTTCATACTATTATACTGTAGTTTTCACTACAAAGATGATGAAAATATCTTGCTTGTGCTTTTGATTAGTAGGACAAAAGACCTTTGGTCAAGACCTCGAAAACGATTTTTATTTATTCTTACTGGCTTGCGTGTTCCACATTATTTAGGCCCGCGCTAGAATTTAAACTTGACAGAGTCGAGCAAGAAGACTCTAGGCGTAGGGATATTTATTGGTAGTATGTGTGAGTGTGCTAATTATTCTTTCTCGCAGCTGAGAAAGAGCTATTGCGAAGGGCACAGCTCAAACGTGACCAAGGCTTGTAAGGCGCACATTGCGCAGCCACCTAATTAATGCTCGCCATCACGGAGCACAGCTACGGTGGAGTCGACTAAGCGAGCCATTAACTTTTAATACTGACCGACGTTTCCCATGATGCAAGAGAAAATTTACTTTTCTAGCGTGTAAATATTGTCAGAATCCAGCCAGTTCCTGGTCCAGTAAATGTTTCTGGTTATGAACTTATGACATAGCCATAAGTGTGAATAACCCGCTGCTGACTAGTTTTGGCTTAGTTTGAAAACATTAAAAATACGTAAAAGCGGCGGCCTCGGTTTGCCTGTTCGAGCTGTAACTAGTAACTCAAGAAAAAGTTACGGAGGGTCGAGTTACTAAAGTTCATTTCAATCATACGAGGATTAAATTTATGTATATTATTTTAACTCAACGGTACTGCAATTTCAAATTGTAGCGTCAATATCCGCAACGATAAAACATATATATAATTGAAGTCTTGGGGTCGCAGGATTAAGAATGTACCAGCTAAAAATATTCACCCAAATCTAGACCAAATATTTTAAATGTATGTTGTGTTACAACTATTTGACATGCCTAATTTTTTAATAAATTATTTCAATTTCTTACGCCAGTATCTGAAAGTGACATGGAAAAAAATGAAGGATGTGAAGAGAGAAGCCTCAATGATTCAGGTATATATGTCTGCGAAAATTTCTAAACAATAGAACCATGCTCCGGTGGTACCATCTCATAATGTGCGTTTTCACATTAATCATTATAAAACAAGTGACTACTTTCTCCCAGGTTTGGGGCAGGAATTGATGACGAGTACCAGTGGGACAGCAGAGACAGCAGGTAAGAAACTTTCTTGTTATGAAAGTCACATGAAAGCATATCAACAAAAACTGTAATTCAAGGGAAAATGGGGATATGAGCCTCGTAAAATAACTCTTCTTCTATTAGAATTTAGGATAGAAATATCAGAACATTAGCTGGCTTATAAGTCAAGAAGTGTTCTTATAGATTCTGATTAATCTGATATTTTTTTAAAAAACACCTATTTGTACCAACTTATCGGACTTGTAACTTTGATCCCAATAATTATGATCTTATTATTGAGCACAAAGATTATTTTCGTAAGTCCTACTTCGTCAGAGCTGCTCAATTATGGAATGGTCTGCCTTATGACATAAAAGCCTGTTCTTCATTTTCTTTATTTAAATCCTAATTACTAATACATTAAAAAAATATATTAAATTAACAGGCGCAAGATCGTCGTCAAAAAAGAGACAGTCATCTTCTCAATCATCCAATATCAATAGGTGCAATCTTTGCCCCAAGAAAAAATCAACCGGCATGGTAATGTGCACCAGATGTCAACAGTGGCAACACTGCTCCTGTGCTGGCTTGTCGATCAAGGAGGCAGAGAATACAAAAGAAACATTTCGCTGCAAAAACTGCGTCTGATTGTACTTCATAGATTTTATTGTACGTTATATATACATGCAGCACAGAACACTTCATTCGAACCATTTAATTCGGAATAAACGATAAGGTGGCTCGAAAAAGTACTCCTGTTTGGAAAAAAAGTTAACTAAAACAGATTTTGTGTTTAAATATATTTTATCGTATCCAAAGACAAACAAGGGCTAACTAAAATTTTAATTTTGTCGAGTTTAATTTATTTTTTAATCGAGTTTAATGGTTCAAATTGTCGAAAATATATATATATATTATACATAATTATTTACATGCACCACAAGAGTACAAAACTCGTGTGCTTGGTTTGTATTTTACAGTTTCCATAAAAGGTCTTTATTTTATGAACTCGAAATGCGTTTTCATTAACCTCCAACTGCAAATCAATCTCTTTCCAAGAGTATGCCTGTTCGCGGGTTACGTAGTTGCACGACTCCCCGGAAATCGAATTGAAATTTTCAAAAATCAACCAATGAAATTCGTTATCTCATTCATGACAACGAATGAGATTCGTTATTTTCTTCGATTTTCTCAGAGTCATGCCACTACCTAAACCTGCGAACAGGCATACTCTGGGAAGGAGATTGACTGCAAATTACGTTTATGTAATAGCCTATTTCAAAACAAAACCCCCTGGCAGATGGAATAATAGATATACAAAGCGTACTCCTTCCTTTTTCAGACTCCTCAGTCAAAATATTCTCTCCAACAATGGCGGTTTTCTACGGGCATGTCAGATATAAACTGCAAAGGAGACAGTTAGACAAAACCCTTGTTTAGGGATAAATACAAACAAATTCTTGTTCGTACACTATATACAGTGCATTCAAATTGATTTGAAATTCATTCTAAGCCTAAAGGCGGATTTCCAGTCCTCGCTGCGAGTAATGCATGAGCACTTTCATCCAATCACAGTGCTAAACACAGTTCATTTTAATTAGATGCAAGCACTCGCAGCGAGCTGGAAAACCGCCTTTAAGCTGGCTAAGGGCATTTTTTTACTCCTGCTTTGTCATATTCCTATACAAATTGTAAAGAAGACAGTTAGGCAAAACCTTTGTTCTGGGGATGAATACAATCAACTTTTTCAAAGAGCGGAGATTCTATATGTATTATTTCTATCCTCTTTATACAAGGGTATGCCAGGATAGTGTGGTAATTTTCCAATCATCCTTTTAGCGTAGCATTTCAATGCACTACGGCGCTGCACTTCTTCCCAGTCTCGGCAGTACAGGAGTTCTTGAATTCTTGTGGCATTTTTCAGTGTAACGGTTCCGATACTTCACCAAGCGATGAAGAAAGAAAAACTGATGTATGTGAGGCATTGCACAAATAATCTTTTTGAAACGGCTGGCCCACACAAAGGTTTGCTCACAAGCCATCGTGTTGAACTGTTCAGGAACCTTGTCATCTGCATTATACAGTTGTTTACACTTGGGATCAACGTGATTCCTCAAATGCAGCCGATCAATAACTTTGGACACGAGTTTCCATGCCTCGTTGAGCGGTGAAGGAAAGGGTAGATCTTTTTTGGCTACTTTTAAACTGTCAACATGGCACATGTTATCATAAGCAATACACGTGGACGATACGGCTTCTCGGACTTGCTCTTCGGTTTGACCATCATTAACTAGGATTTTAAATTTTCGAAACAACCACAAAACAAGAATAATGTAGGCTTGGGTTGGGGACTCCGACCTAAAAATAGACAAAACAGGGTATTAAGGCAAACATTAACTAAAGTTCGTTCTAAAAATTAGTATAGGAAATTACAAGGTTCGAGAAGTATTAATGAAAAATCGCACGCGAGCGGTATTATAAATATTTCGCCAAACACAAGTGTGACTTTTCATTAATACGCGCCAACGCCGCCTGATTGCAGGCTACAGCTTCAGGAAACCCCCTGATCCAGGTTACATAAACAAATACTTGTGAGAAAATTCTTCAGATTTCCTTTTTACACGGAAACTCTCAATACTGATATAGCCAAGGACCTGCTACTCGGTTAGTACAAAACGGCAATTTAATATAACATACACAACATTTCCCCATGTTCAATTAACAATTTATGTTGTATGTTATTGAAATCATGTTTTGAACTCACATACCTGTATAGAGGTTGCCAATACTCTATATGTCCACCACCACTCACAACAAAAAACATTCCACGCGACCAGCACTGTAAGCTTTTGAGACCCCCTGTATCTTTATTGCACAAAAGTTCATTCTCTAGGCTGTCATCATTCAGAAATCCTGGGTTTGTTGTAAGAAAATCTGTTGTACCTGTTGAAAACGAGTGTATACCGGTATGATAAGTGTCCGTCAAATAAATGGTACAATACACATAATTAATTTAATCCGCCAAAGTTCAACCTGAGCAAAAAGCTGACCATATTTTTGTAACGCAACCTGTACTTTTTACATACCTATGAAAACCTGAAAGATCCGGGCTTACGGATCGAAAGCTTTGCAGTAATAAATTTACGTGGTGTTTCCACAAACAAAAACAATTATGAAAACCTAATAAAAACTTTCGGTTGTGCACGTGCTAGCCATGACCTGTGAGTACTGTGAAGCCTGTTTCAAGCATCGAACTTTTCCTATGGACTATGGCTATGCCGAATGCATTGAAAAAAACAACAGATAATGAGGTATTTCAACGTATTATCTATTGTTTTTAATGCATTCAGCACATGGAAAGTTGGACGTTTGAAACGGGCCTAAGTTGAAAGATTTCCGGACAAAACATGAATGGTTCCAACGGGTGAGGATAAAGGGCGTATGCGGAATATGGGGACAAAATGCGGATTTGGAGATAAAACGTGGATTTGGAATATTATATCATAATTTTTTCCGGCAAAAAAGTTTGCCTTTTCCACAAAAACATTCCCACATTTTTGCTTACCTCAAAATGCCACTACAGCCTGTTTCATTTGTGAATATAAATTATGACGATTCTTCACAGATGAAACAAACTGTAGTGATCACCTTTCGAGGTAAATCTACAGTTGTAATTGTTAATGTACTATTACATTTTTGTTAATTAATTAAGCCTTAAGGGTGGCACTGCCGGCAGGTACAAAACGCAGGTTGCAGGTTGGAATTTTGCAGGTTGGGAATTTTGCAGGTTGGAATTTTGTAGGTTGGGGATTTTGCAGGTTGGAATTTTGCAGGTTGCCAGGAACTTTGCAGGTTGATAATGCAAACTTAAAATTACACCACTTTTTTAGTATTCTAGTATAACTTAGTTGTGCATTTATTGCAGTCTGACTCCTTGTCGGCGCTTTTGATATCAGCTAATCAGCCTACCCTGTTGCCATGTTCCTAGCCTCTGCTCTAAGGCTAGTGGCCATCATCACCGTAAAAACATTCAAAATGACCAGATTGGCTTGAACCTACAGGGAAACGAATGTTTTGATTGTGGCGAGGTGCCTACATGACCTGGCGGCGTTTATACTAGAATATTGTTAAAAGTTAACTAACTCTCGACTAATGATACGGTAATTGGGGGCTTGAATGGGCTTCTCATAAGTGGGTGCAGAAGAGAGACACCTCATTCAGGCATTTTCTGAACTGCCACCACGTCATGTTGGCTCCTCGCAACAATCGAAACATCCGTCCCCCTGAAGGTCCAAGCCAATCTGGTCATTTTGAATGTTTTCACAAGGGTGATGGCCACTCCTTAGAGCAGAAGCTAGGAACATGGTAGCAGGATAGGCTGATATTAAACGTGCCGACAAGGAGTCAGACTGCAATAAGTACGGTACACAATTAAATTATACTAGAATACTTTATAGTGGTGTAATTTTAAGTTTGCATCATCAACCTACAAAATTCCTGGCGACCTGCAAAATTCCAACCTGCAAAATCCCCAACCTGCAAAATCCCCAACCTGCAAAATTCCAACCTGCAAAATTCCCAACCTGCAAAATTCCCAACCTGCAAAATTCCAACCTGCAAAATTCCCAACCTGCAAAATTCCAACCTGCAAAATTCCCAACCTGCAAAATTCCCAACCTGCAACCTGCGTTTTGTACCTGCCGTGGCACTGCTGATGAAGGGAATATTATGGCTGATTCTGTACCTTGATAAACTATGCTCAGTCAATCAAATTGCTTGTGCTACTTAAATATGTGCTGAGATCTATTGGTACATTATTGTGAAGGAAATTTATAACAACTTGATCTTTATATTATAATAAACTTACCCTGAAATGTTGAAGCATTAGATTCATTTGTACTGCAGCTTTTATTTCCACACTCCTGAAGGCATTTATTAATTTGCTCCATAGAGGAGTCTAAAAAAGTAAATACATGAAAAGGTCAGGATATTTAATGCATTACTGAGGCCTACTAAAAAAAATTGTCAACAATTGTTTTGAACACAAACAATCTATCAATATGGTCACTGATCATCAGTCATTGTACAAATAAGTCTGCAATCAGTTATTGCAGACTTATTACAATGACTGATGATCAGTGACCATATTTAAAGCCATTGATATGTCACACAATAAAGACATGGATAAGCCATCAATAGAACTGAGACCATTTGTATGGTAATTTTACACCATAACAAAATATTTATGTTCTTACCTTCGAAGCAGAAATGTGCCGACATATCTTCCAAAGCTATAATAAAAATCCAATTTGAATGAAAACAGTTAACTTATATTATTTAAATACTTAATTATACTTATTTAAATACTATTATGATTCACTGCAGGTTTATTTATTGACTCCTAATATTACTGATACGTCAAACCAAAATTTGACTAAATATTTATATTCATTAAATTTATTTTCAATGTCAAACATTTCCTGATACTCAAAATTGGTATCTAAAGACAACAAAAATTAAACTATGTCAGTATTAATAAATTTAACCTACAATTTCTTTTTTTCAGAAATATCAACAAGCAGACTTAAAATATCTTGTGTATCTAAATATTACAACACCTCAAGTGACTTAATAAATGCTACAATATATTGTTTCAATTTCTCCTCAAATTGTTATTTTTTTTATTTACAATTTCTTAAATAGAAATTATAACAACCTTCATAAGCATTTTACACTTTTTTCAATAGAAACGTAACCTAGATCTACACTAAGTTCTTCAACAAAACTTAACCTATATAAAGCATTTTACACTAACCCTGATCAATTTCTTTTTTGGAAACACCACACTTCTTCAAAAATGGTCTCAATTCGCTTGGATAGCCTTGCAATATAGCTTGTTTGCAGTGAGATTCACAGAATGCATGTCCACGCTTTGGAGATAAAGGGCAAATTTTGGGATAATTTATTTCTCCAAACCCAGGTAACTTCAATGGAACCTTCCACATGCAATGAGCATACCGCAACTTCCAGTTACCATCAGCTACAAATAACTTTCCACATCCTGTAAATGCAATATACAATATTCAAATGAGCTATTAAAATATTAAGTATGGAAAATATTGAATGATGCATACATTTGCTGATTATATAATGGCCAATAGGTCTCTGGTCAAAATGATGTATAAATAAGGTCTCTGCAGCTGGTCAATATGTCAATGCACCCCAAAGCAAATTTTGTCGAAACTAAAATCAAGTTGTTGACACATACAATATCTGTGAAACAAATTATAAGGAGTTTATTAGATTTTGGGAGTTTAAAGACCAGTCATTAATTACAGGGGAGGGGGGGGGGGAAATGAAAACTTAAGGCACATAACAAAAGGCACATATTTAATCATACTATATTATCATAGTTGCCAACATTGGGAAACCTGAACAGTGAATGCTGCCATCACTGCAGTAAAACCTCAAGAGGTGAGCCTTCATTTATAACTCAAACTGAGTTACGTCAACAATACTGGGTAACGAGTTGAGCTTGGTCCAGAGTTAATTGCACATATTGGCAAGTACAAGACTATTAAATGCCCCTAATGGTCTAGGTTTCTGAGATGCCGGGAATGGCAAATTCTATTAATTTAACATTACGGTGCTTTTGTACAGCATTATATTCTGCTGACGTTTGCTTGTTCGGAATCTAAGGCCCCATTTACATGAGACCGGATCGAAGTCAAACAGGGACCACTTCGTTTCGGTCATAGTATTATCTATAATAGATGTTTACATGAGACCGGGATGAAAATAACTCAGACCGGTCTCAAGTCATTCCGCCTGCTGGACCGAACCGACTGACTTCAGACCGACATGAATTCAGACTGAGATGAATGTAAACACAAATACATTTCAGACTGGTCTCGGCTGTAACCTTGACATTGGAACAACACATGCTAACAAAATCCATCTAAAGGGGAATAAATTGAAAATTTTGTGATCTTCGTACCGGTCTCATGTAAACATGTTGACAATTTCAATTTTCATTCCGGTTTGACTAATCGTCCCGGTCTCATGTAAACGGGGCCTAAGAGGATTATGCACTAATAACCCCTCAAATCCATGCATGTTGAAAAGACACCATTTGTCATACATTTACAGTACATGTATTCCAACTACCTTTGACTTTGCAATTTGCAGAACATTCATGTGAATATAAGCTATCACATCGAATTGCATCAATAAACTTCATGGCATCATCATAGGTACCACTTAATTCACTGCTTTTTTCGCTTGCAAAAATCCATTTTTCCCGCAATCCAATTTCTTGCAGTTCTCCCTCTACTTCTCGATGCCAAAAACTTTGTGCAACAGCCTTTGCTGACAGCTCTCCTGGCAATATACCTGATACACCTATTATAATTATATACAAGTGTAAATAATTTGATTAATAATTAACTAAACTTGGCAGATTTAAGGTTGTCGGCATTACAATGATGACATGTGAAAAAATGCACTCATAAATATAATAGTAACCTTGTATCCAGGGTACCCCACATACCTTGGTAAACCCTGCAATACCCTGGTAAACAGTGGTCATGTGAAACTCAAACACTCCCAGATTTTGGAAGTATTTCTGCATATCACTAAAACCCTTGTTGGGTCAAAACAAAAATCATGAATTCTAAAATATACCAGTAGAGTTATGATTTGTGTTTACTTTTGTGATATTTCCATGAAATAAAAATGTTCTCTAGAAATATTTTATTGCTACAATTTACCAGATTCCTGTGAGTTTTATGCCAGGCAAATTAATTTGTTACAATATTTTGTATATGAGCTGACAACCTTTACATATGATTCATATACCAGGGTTATACTGCTTACACATACATGTATTAAAATTTGAAGTTTAATTAACGTTTTAAAGAAACATCCTAAAATAATAAAATTAATCGTCAGACCTATATAATTTTCAGACCTCATTATAATAACCCTTTATGTGGCAATGCACCCTACTTTAGGATGTTACTCATTCTAACACCAGACGATTTTACTCTTCAAGTGGAGAGTGCTGCAATTGCCACTCAACATTTGGGTTAATTAAAGTCTCTACTCTGAGTGACATTATTATTTACAATATTATCACTTACAGTATGTATCACTGCAAGCTAGAAACTATATTGTTTGTTGCAAAATGCTTAATATACAGACACTAGAAGCACTCTGTTTTTTCAAATAGATTAATTTATGCAACAGAAACATTTAAAAACATATTGCAAATTAACACTTAATTTTGTGAACTTGCTTGTTCTTTCTTGAAATTACCGCATTTTTTAAATGAAAACCTTTTGTTTTGTTTTGTTTCATCAAGGAAAAGTTTCCACCATTGTTTTCCTGACATGGCGGTGATTTCCAACGTTCTCCTGAGGTGAACAGTATTGCCCACCGAGATATGCGGCTTAATACCGGCTGGATACGAGGTTATTAAAGTATATGTTTTCAATTTTAATCACACTTTGATTTAAAATGTAGCCAAACAGATCTATTCAAGTATTCAGCGATCTGAGTAGTGACAGTTATTTGGAACTTCTTGTCTCGTTGCTCAGATGTCATTTGTAGGGAGGAATGAGCAAGAATCAGCTGTTTTGATTTTCATGTTAATAAAATCAATACATACCACCATTTTCAGTCGATGTATCCTCAATACTTATTGGTTCAGTTAACGTTGGATGACCTATATATGGCGACAAAGACCAATATATTAATAACCAGACATCATTCACAATTAGTGACAATTATAGAAGTAATTTACTCTCAACAGTTGCAAATGCACCCCAAAATTGCCTCCCCAAATTTTGTGTTATCATTTTTCATATATCAGTAAATAATTATAGGAATGGCAAACTTTTGCCCAAGTGGGACTACGGTTATTTATGTCCACAACTGAGGCCAAACAGTGCTAATATGACATCACAAATACAGCAAAGCACTGATCAGGCCATTTCAGCTTTGACTACAATGTCTATGCATGAAGGCTCCTTCGCCCAGCGGCCCCACTCGTGTTCCAAAATCCTCCATGTAAAGTGTTGTGAAATGTATCTCAATACTTATCATGATCACAGCCAACAGAGGCCTCTGCGGAGGAGAGAGGCATGAATACATAGTAATTCTAAGTACCCCACACAGGGTTTTCAGTTTTGTGTGAGGCTTTGGTTAATGGTGATGAAGCTATGGCGAAAGGGAAAAGCCTAATTTAAAACTATGTGGACTGCACCTGAGTTTACAATCAATTCGTGCACATGGATTATATATTGATATAAAAGCTCTGGCGAATTTAGGTGGGCCAAATGAAAAAGTCTGGCGAAACTCCCTAAACTGAAAACCCTGATCCCACGGCTTATAAAATGACTATACTGAGTAACAGCCTAATTACATGGATATGTTATTCAGAGATGACCAAATAAACTGGACATTACATCAAATTTATAGAAAAAAGTTTAAATTCTGACTTACCATGTACAACTGCACAAAACTGCTCAATTTCTTCTGCATTCACATTGTTGTATGCCTCTGAAAACCCACTGAAGGACACCCAACAATGATTGCTAGAATTCAATTTCAAATCAACAATTTCGGGTCATACTTAAATTACAGACAACAGTCAACAAGCTGGCAAATTACTGACCTATTTTTAACAAAAGGGGTTACCATAAATTTAGGACCTTTTAAAATAATCTTTTATTCTGTTTGTGTTAAATCTGTTTGTGTTAAATCACCTATGCACCTGTTGTATAGTCTGTACCTGCCCTGCACCCTCAAAGTCGTGAATAGGGAGTTTGGCAAATTACAACGGCAACGTTGTGAATACAAAAGGTTAGGGGTGCACTTGCACCCGTCATTGCAGCCAGCTCAGACAAATGAAACCCGTCATTGCAGCCAGCTCAGACAAATGAAATACATCAGCAAGACTTTTTGTGGAAAACAAAATGTATAAATGAAACAAAATATGTAGTAATATACTAATTATATAGTTAGTTTAAAACATGAAACGTAATTGTTCGCGGTTACATCCAGCAATTCTGCCGTTTATAGCCTAATGGTTTTAGGCGCAGCTTAGGCGCAGCTTTACTAAGTTCTCGGCTTATTAAATATTTAACAAAGAAATTCCTTACCTAAGGGATGGAATCCAACGATATAATTTCCTGTCGATGTATGTGACGTTGCTCACTTCGATCTCATCGACTTCCAACTCTTCGGGGTAAAAATGCATACCTTTTTCTTCGCTGTAGTTGGCAACACCGTATTTAATTGAACAGTCCCTGCACTCGAGAGATATTTTTGAGCACGGAATTGGGCCTTCGGAAGTAAACAAAGTTGCCTTTGACAGGTTGTTGTGCATTGACAATTGTTTGTGACAACGTAAACAGTTGGAAATAGGCGGCGTTAAAAACTTATTAAAATTGATCTGTTCTCTTTTTGAAAGATCCCACACGTTCGTATTTGTCGCTGTCGTTGACGCTTTCATTGACAAAAATTCTGGGCAGTACGATTCCAAAAACACGCACATCAATCGAACATCGTCTTCTTTCGAAAGCGCCGTCGACTGCGTCGAGTTGATTCCATTGCGATTGAGAGCCAAAGCGTTAAAAATTTTTAGCACGTAGCTAAAACGCATAGACGAACCTTTCGTACAACGAGTAAGATTAGCAGGGACATGCTGCAATGCTTCCCTTAAAACAATAATACCGTGGTGGCCAATTTTCATTGCCGCAAGAGTTAAGGCATCTTCTTCGGTGAGCTTAACTTTCTCAGCCAACACGTGCTCAAGATTAACATCACGAAGCGCTGTGATGTGCTCTTGGATTTTCTCAACGAACGAAACATTCGATCTTAAGCCAGCAACTATGTTATCTAAATCGAATATTTCGGACGGCTTTTTCCTTTTCTTCTGCTGTTTATTAGACATTCTAACTATCACAAAAGAGCACAGTAAAATGAATCGAGTAATGAATCTCTGTGTCGCAAAATATTCAAAGAACTGTAATAGAGCACGTTGTTAAATTAACTGTAATAGAGCACGTTGTTATTACGCGCGCATTGTCGGAAAACTGGGTACTACTGTCAGTGGTACGATGGTACTATAGTATGCCTGGAACTTGTTAATTTTCAATGGTACGATGGTACGCGTACCATATCTATTTTTCCTAAACGCCTGTCCTATTTCGGGCATCTCATGACATTTTGGAGAGAAGTGATGTTTTGACTAAGAGCAAATTACTCAGTCTGAGTTGGGTGATCTGTTGATCTTGTTCCGATTTGCGTCTTAATGCTGTTGGATGACATATATAAATTTACTTGAGTGAGAATGGACAGTGTGTTGCGGAAAAAACAGTATGTAACCAGTCACTGAAAAACTCTGATAGGGAGTGTGCTGTCCATTATCTGTATCTGTAAGAGCTGTTAATTCTAATTAGATAAGACGGGAACTCCCTTTCTCTTGGTATGTGCGCGTCGTATGCGCAAGTTATTAGGGAGGTTAAGCTTCACATTTGCGGGAACAGCAAGACCGACTTTTCTTGGCATCATGTTCGTTCGTTTCTGTGTGTCATATTTTCTTCCATATGGCACAAGAATAGTTAAGCATTCTAGTTATAAAACAACAAGCCCATTTACTTTTTATTGCTTTATAGCGTAAATTTTTTCTTTAACTGACGTTTGTCGTTGAATGCGAAGCTTAAGCTCTCTAATATAATTAGATTGCAAACGTCATGCAATGCTGTTGCATAATATTGAATACCTCCTACAACCTACTAAGCTGTTTCCTTCTTTTTTTTTTGATGAACTGAGAATTTTTTATGGCACAAATATATTGGATTGGCGAAAAGGCGTTCGTGATAAAGAAGTGCATGATCAACAACATAACATGACTGTTTGAACACGAAATTGGTTGATACAAAAACCGAGTGCGTAATGAAGTTGCAGTCAGCTTAGAGTTAACCTTGGTTCTTTCTCATTAATGGACTAGATGCAAAGGAAATAATAATAAACAACGACCCTGGACTAATAAAATTGACAGGAAAAGATCTAGAAAATAAATAAGATTGTGAACACCAAGTAAAACTCATATTTAGCAACAACCCCCCCTCCCCCTATTCCCCACACCTTTCTCCTGTAACCAATTAATTAATGTATAAAATCGTGAAGCATGAAAGTATTGTATTTGAAAGATAATTAATTAATTATGATATTTTACTGATATTTACAGTACCCGATGTTGCATATTTAAAGAGAATCAAATTTGCAAACAGACTCTTTGTACATATTAGAATTACCCCCCTCCCCCTCCCCCTATTAAAATGATAGAGAAATTACGGTATGCGTGGTCTAGAATGTTTAGGATTATAATAATATTTAAAGCCTGAAAACAAATTCGCTTGCAAACGTCATGCAATTGCTGTAGTATAAAATAAGTTAAATAACAAAAAAAATTGAATAAGTTGTTATTGTAATGTTGGCTTGGAAGTGTTCCTGGCCAGGGCTCGACATGGTAAATTGCTCAGAATGTTTGGAAAAACCATTAAAATGCACAAAACATAAAAATATCATATATTTTTAAAACACTCCGACGTCATCTTGTTTCAGTTCAGCCCTTCTTTCGCACATTTCATAATTTTTTTCTTGTCCAGGTTTCTCCAGTTGTGGATTGAGATCAGTTTTTGTTACTGCGCGTGCGCATTAAGTGTTTTGTGGTTAAGCGCATGCGTATTTACAACACAACAATTGGCGGTTCATGGATTTCAAAATACGACGAAGCATGAACTTTGGAGTGGTTGTACTTCAATTTGTGCAACTATTTCGCTTGGGGGGAAGTGGATTCTAACTAAGTAAGTTCTAATCTATCCATTCACATAAAAATTATGTAGTTACACGAGGGGTGCTACAGAATCTGTTTTCTAAGCATATTTTCGACCCTCATCTCACGGCCTATTCTTGATATTTACATTTTAGAACTTTGAATATACATTGTTAAATTGAATCTCAAAATATAATTGTAGATTATGCAAGTCTGTTTTAACAGATGCAGTATAATATTAATTATATGAAAGATATGAGACTTAACAAGCTTTGCGAATGTTCTTTTAATTTTTTTTTGCGGTCTTTTCCTTTGTATTTTTGCCATTTCCTTTTCATTTTTTTTCCTGTCTTTTCCTTTGTATTTTTGCTTTATTATTTTATAGGTCGTTCACAAAAAGACGAAGAGAGGGCGCAGGTCAGCGGTGGTGTTAGGATGGACTAAGAATGTTATTTTGTTATAGTTATAGTTTATATACTTTAAATTCACTGTAAATACGTTAAAAAAGAGTGAATAATAAAGATAATGTATTGTCAAATCTCGTCTCCTCTCATATAATTAATATTATACTGCATCTGTTAAAAAAGACTTGCATAATCTACAATTATCAGGTCATACTGGGCATGTTATTTATCTTTTCCTGGATCAAAACATCCAAATAATTCACTCACTTTTGGGACAACTTCTTTATCTTGTTCATCTCAATACTCAGCATTTGGAGCAACTATGTTACCAAATTCCTCACTTGCAATATGTTCTACTGCCTGATCAAGTGCTTCAGTATGATTCTCGTGCTGGATCACATCTTTGACTACTTCAAATCGATCCTGATAAGTTTGGAAGTCTTTCAGAAGATCTGTAGTTTCATTTCTCCAAAGAGTGTTAAGCATAATTTGTTCTCTACAGTAATTTTCAGGATCTTTGTTTTTATTGAATCTGAGTATATTAAGGACGGACCATTATTTTTTTGGAGGGGGGATGGAAAATTCTTAAATTAAAAAATTGTTTGCACAGACAACAAAAGTGCAAATAAATTGTTTGCACACATAGAGAAGAGGAAAAAAATAGTTTGCAAGCTATTAAATGAGATCATGGAACATCGACCAAGGTTTAATAACATTGAAGTGCTCACCAACATACCCAGGGTCTTCACCCCAAAAGCCCTTGGATGGGAGATGCTGGTGAGAGAGATCATCATCTACATTATCATTCAATTCATTCGGAAATTTCTTTCTCTCTTTCAGCTGGTTGAAAGAAACGTTTTACTTACACTGTGTTATTCCTACAACCTCGATCTACACTGGACCCCCACCTTGTTCAAGTTATTACAACAGGTGATTACCTGATCTTATCAAACCATCACTGCTCTTCGAAAATTTTAGCAGCAATATGTCATATAAAACTTCTCCGAGTTCAAATTTAGAGAAATCTTTTTACCCACATCGTGTTAATCATCTGTTAGCCTTTGTTGCGATTTGCGACTATATGTTGTTAGATTACATATTTACCCCCTGATTGTTTGAAGATCAATGGCAATGGAAAACAGATGATGATGGACAACTTTTGGAGTCAGAGCGGATGACGGCACGATGACGGTTTCGCTGAAAACATTTTTACAAGCGTAGCCAGGTTGTGGGTCGGGGGGGGGCCACCTCCCTGGTAAAATTTTGGCGCTACCTGAGAAAATTTATTCTATAAAAAGAAGTGAAACATGGCCCCATCTAGGTTTTTGCTGCCCCCTCACCAAAAATCCTGACTACGCTTCTGGAGATTTTGGAGAGAAGTGATGTTTTGACTAAGAGCAAATTACTCAGTCTGAGAAACTCTGATAGGGAGTGTGCTGTGCATTATCTGTATCTGTAAAAGCTGTTAATGCTAATTAGATAAGACGGGAACTCCCTTTCTCTTGGTATGTGCGCGTCGTATGCGCAAGTTATTAGGGAGGTTAAGCTTCACATTTGCGGGAACAGCAAGACCGACTTTTCTTGGCATAATGTTTGTTCGATTTCTGCGTGTCATATTTTCTTCCATATGGCACAAGAATAGTTAAGCATTCTAGTTATAAAACAACAAGCCCATTTACTTTTTATTGCTTTATAGCGTAAATTTTTTCTTTGGCTGACATTTGTCGTTGAATGCGAAGCTTAAGCTCTCTAATATAATTAGATTGCAAACGTCATGCAATGCCGTTGCATAATATTGAATACCTCCTACAACCTACTAAGCTGTTTCCTTCTTTGTTTTTTGATGAACTGAGAATTTTTTATGGCACAAATATATTGGATTGGCGAAAAGGCGTTCGTGATAAAGAAGTGCATGATCAACAACATAACACAACTGTTTGAACACGAAATTGGTTGATACAAAAACCGAGTGCGTAATGAAGTTCCAGTGAGCTTAGAGTTAACCTCGGTTCTTTCTCATTAATGGACTAGATGCAAAGGAAATAATAATAAACAACGACCCTGGACTAATAAAATTGACAGGAAAAGATCTAGAAAATAAATAAGATTGTGAACACCAAGTAAAACTCATATTTAGCAACAACCCCCCCTCCCCCTATTCCCCACACCTTTCTCCTGTAACCAATTAATTAATGTATAAAATCGTGAAGCATGAAAGTATTGTATTTGAAAGATAATTATGATATTTTACTGATATTTACAGTACCCGATGTTGCATATTTAAAGAGAATCAAACATGAAAACAGACTCTTTGTATATATTAGAATTACATCTCCCTCCCCCTATTAAAATGGTAGAGAAATTGCGGTATG